TATATATATATATATATATATATATATATATATATATATATATATATATATATATATATATGTTAAAATGGAGGTTCCCTTCGGGATTCTTATTTTCATGATAAACAGGAACACAAATGACAATACCAACACATTTTTTTTAATTAAAATGTTTTAATTACAATTAAAAGGCTGTTGTACTAGACCTAGGAGAGGTTATGTGTGGTTGCTTCCTTCTCAGGCCCTCTACCAAATCAATAGTACAAAAAGTGGACACTTTTGAGCTTCAATAGTCCATCTTTTGTACACATACTCCAGTCACTATGTGTACAATAATCTGCGGACGATACGCTGACTACTGACGACAATATCATGGTTAGGTACAAATGTTGACATAACAGAGAAGAGAGAAAATACAAAATATGCAAATATAAGATTTCTATCTTTGGTATATGTAAAGGAATAGGAGGAAGTGTGAAGAGTTATTTACACCGGAAGATATCAACCGGAAGGTGCACCTTCACCTAGACACGAAATGACTGAATCACTTAACATTAAACCTACAGTGAAACATATATTTGTAGTTTTCAAAGCTCATAGTTGACTAGGAACATTTTGGTTATTTCTTTTATTAACTGGCTCCGGTAAGTATCGGATGAGGCTGCAACCATCACTGCAGTGTTCGTTAGTGATGAGGTCAGCACCTCACAGTTCGCCAGCGATAAGTTCAGCACCTCATAGTTTAACTGCGGTAAGGTCAGCACCTCAAAGTTCGTCAGTGATGAGGTCAGCATCTCACAGTTCGCCAGAGATATAGGTTCACCACCTCGTAGCACGCCAGAGAGAACATCAGCACCTCAGAGTTCGTCAGTGATATGGTCAGCACTCGGCAGAAGCGAGATGTTCTTCGATCAGTACATTCACACGAGGCTGGCGAGACCTGTACATCGGTGTCGTGTATACACTGACGTACAGGTGTACTGATGTCCATGTATCCACCACCCACCACCTATGCCCATCTCGTCCAAGACCGGGGGCCTTCACAGTACAAACCGCTTCACATTGTTCCAGACTCTCATGTGTTTATATTTCTCGTGACGACACTAAGTGGGTGGAGGAGGTGAGCAGGACCAACACTCACCACTGCTGCCACGCCTTCTTCACTGCCTCCACTCTTACACTGTACCCACTGCCTCCACTGTTACACTGTACCCTCTGCCTCCACTACCACCACTCTCCCACTGGCCTCTGAATCCGTGCTTATCTTGTTTCCGGGATAATTCTAATTTGATTACCTGTCAATATAACATTACATATATCGTGACACCAGCTGGACAAATATAGTGACACCGGCTGGACATATATCGTGACACCGGCTGGACATATATCGTGACACCGGCTGGACATATATCATGACACCAGCCGGACATATACCATGATATACATTAGGTGACGGGACCCTTATCAACACCTAGCTTGCAGGGTGTGGCCCCGTATAACAGGATGTGACACCGTGTAGCAGGGTGTGACACCGTGTAGCAGGGTGTGGCCCCGTATAACAGGGTGTGGCACCGTGTTGCAGGGTGTGGCCCTGTATAACGGTGTGGCACTGTGTAGCAGGCTGTAGCCCCGTATAATAGGGTGTGACCCCGTGTAGCTGGTTGTAGCCCCGTGTAGCAGGGTGTGGCCCCGTGCAGCAAGGAGTGCCATCTCCTCTCCCCTCTATTTACTGACGCGCCGCTGACGTGGGGACCAGACGGGGAGAGGAGGGGACCTTCACCATGCCGGCCTTGGCACGAGGGGAATAGTGCGCCCTGCTAGGAGGGATATGGTGGCACTGTGTGGGGGTGGTGATGGTGGCACTGACAGAGGAGGAAGGGGTGGGGAATAGGCTGCAGGTGTCGTTGGAGGAAAGCCTCCGAGAGTGTGCCAGGATAAGAGATGCTAACAAATACCAAAACAAAAGATTTCACCAGCCAGCCACACCCCCCCCCCCCCCCCCCCCCTTCCGGACTTCTTTCACAAACAAGAGAGTCGCACCTCTTCAATTTCCCTTCCCAGCCACACCTCTCTCTCTGTCTCTCTCTCTCTCTGTCTCACTCTCTCTGTCTCACTCTCACTCTCTCTCTCTCTCTCTCTCTCTCTCTCTCTCTCTCTCTCTCTCTCTCTCTCTCTCTCTCTCTCTCTCTCTCTCTCTCTCTCTCTCTCTCTCTCTCTCTCTCTCTCTCTCCCCCCAACACGCTCTCATCTCCCGTCTATCATCTCCCAGAGGGCCTTGATGGCGCTAAGATCCTATATAATACAGTTTCCGACCCTCCTAGCTTTGTTGCTTCGATTTCAAGAACTCTATCATCATCAACATCATTCTCATTATATAATCTGGTTGCTTCCCTCCCCCCCACGCCCCCTCCTCCTATACTCAAAGAGGCGCTGTTTGAGTGACTGTAGAAGCTTTCTGGAGTCGAACCTAGCCAGGCTTCCTGTGGCTGGTGTTGACATGCTGTGCTCTGGGTGTGGGGGAGATCTTGCACCCAGATAATACCTCTCACCATGCCGGTGCGCCCTCTCACCTTTACTTGAAGAACCAAGTCAGCGATGAAGTATTTTATTGGTCATTCACCTCTCTTAAGGGATAAAGTTAGTGTACTTTACTGTTCACATTAACAGATGGAGTTTACCATACTGAATAATATAGCATACCATGCTGGAGTCAGCATACTCATATTACCCACAGACATCTTGGTGGACGAAAGTATGCTGGTTACTCACGTTATTGTTACTCATTATTCTCTCGTGATTCAACAACTTACTCAACATTGTTCTCATTGTATTATTTCCTAGGTTTGGTTATCATTGAAAACGTGTCTGAATTTTTTTACATTTATCTTGCCAGCTGTATCGTCACGTTAACTGTTACTCATCAAGCCTTGAATTAACGACGATAACGTCGATTCAACGTTGATTAAGTGTTCCATTCAACGTTACTCTTGGATATTGTGCCCAATGGATAAATGTAGTATAATGAAAACCATCTCCAGGAAAAACAAAACTAATTCGGTGTTTACAGCTTGTCATAGTTGTCAGGAAGGAGTTTGGAACTAGTAACGTGGAGAGAGGATCTGAACGTTAGTCGCCACCTTCTTAATGACTTCGTTATTGGATCCAAGACTCTTCTTATCTAGTTTAAAGGATCAAATTAATGTTCTCAAAATGAATGTTTTCCAAATTGATGTTCTAATAATTAATGTTTTATAAATACCATGAGAGTAGCGTAAGTTATTCATCGGGTTAGTTCACTGTTCTTGTGTCGACTTTGTGTATAACTTACGCTAGTTCCGGGGGTCAGTTGCCCCGCGGCCCAGTCTCTGACCTGGTCTCCTGGTTGGTGGGCTGTTAGACCAAGCTGGTCACAGTCTGACGTAGGCGTCCCCAGCCCGTCTCTCAAGAAATCACATCACAGTGTTCAGAAGGATTAAGAGACTGCCGCATTGAATGAGAACAATTGGAGTGGGAGCGGTGTTGCTCTCCTATCTCTCTCACTCTCTGTCTGTCTGTGGAACCTGCAGCCATCCGCTTGGCATCTGAAGACCCGACCTCAGGATCGATACTGGCCTCTTGAAGACTCCTCACTCCTCCCTTCCTTTCTCTCTCTCTCTCTCTGTCTCTCACGAAGCTCCTCCTTGTGACGTATCCGTGGTTTACCGGAATGACTCGTCGTGTCTTCATCAAGTCTACTCCACTGGCCATAGAGTGACCTTCAACTTGCTCTCTAACCCGTTCCATTTATGTCACTCTTACGCTGGAGAAGTTTTCCTCTCACATGCTCCTCGGTGTGTGGCCAAGTTCCCGCCTCTCCCCGCTGTGTGCCAGGCTTTCCAAGATTTCCCAAGACTTTTTCCCCCAGAATCTCCCATTCATGCCGAGGCTTCCCCAGAAACTTTCCAAGACCAAACCCAGACACTCAACTCTTCACCACACACACATATATCCTTTCAACTTTAATTTCCTCTTTCGTGAAATAAATAAATAAATATGATCTTAGACCCCCCCCCCCAATAACGTTTAGCACTCACGCACGCACACGCACACGCGCTACACACACACACCTCATAATCCCATTAAGAATATGTAGCAATAGCTTAATCCTTACATCAGCCTACTGATAGCATTTATAAATATTTAACTCTCCACACTCTCTCTCTCTCTCTCACTCTTTCTCTCAGTCTCAGTCTCACTCTCTCTCTCTCTCTCTCACATCGAAGAACAGGGAGCAAACAACACTGACCGGACGGACATGAAATTCTTTTTAGGAGAGAGGGGCTGGAGGCGTGACTGGAAGCCTTGCTGGCCAGGACCCCACACTACTCACTCTGGTCTCCTCCCCCTCCCCCTCTCTTCTTCCTCCTCCTCCTCCTCCCGTTACTCACTTTCCTCCTACGTCCGTTCCTCGGAGGGGTTTCCGCCTCCCTGCACACAAAATGGCTGCCAGGGTGTGTCAACATGGACGATAGGTGGAGAGTGAGCGAGCGAGCGAGAGAGAGAGACAGAGAGAGAAAGAGAGAAAGAGAGAGAGAGAGAGAGAGAGAAGAGAGAGAGAGAGAGAGAGAGAGAGAGAGAGAGAGAGAGAGAGAGAGAGAGAGAGAGAGAGAGAGAGAGAGAGAGAGAGAGAGAGAGAGAGAGAGAGAGAGAGAGAGAGAGAGAGAGCGAGAGAGAGCGACAGAGAGAGAGGGGGAGAGTGAGATAGATTATATATATATATATATATATATATATATATATATATATATATATATATATATATATATGTATATTATATATATATTATATATATTTATATTATATATATTTATATTATATATATATATTTATATTATATATATATAAATATATATATATATATATATATATATATATGTATATTATATATATTTATATTATATATATTTATATTATATATATATATATATATATATATATATATATATATATATATATATATATATATATATATATATATATATATATATTAATTATTCGTTTTATCAGGGACAGGAAGCCAAGGAGCACGGTGTCAGGATCACAAGTGACGTGTGCACGATGTTACAAACAAGGTGTCAATAAGCACGGTGCCACGAGTACGGTGTCATAAGCACGGTGTCATTAAAAAGGTGTCACTACTAGTGTCACGAGTACGGTGTCACCAAGATCCATAAACTCTGTTAACTCTCACATTCCTTAGTGAATCTGGGGGAGGCTTTGGTGGGACCAGCGGGTGGGGGGTGGACCTTTATGGTGAGCGTGTGGGCGGCGTGTGGGCGGCGAGGTGGGCGTGAGGGCGGCCTCTCCCTCCGTCTAATTCTCTAGCCCGATGCACCCTGCTTAAGACAACCTCAGAACGGAAACTCCCAGGTAGGAAGGCCACCCACTCCTGGCAGGCCGCCCACCCCAGGTAAGCCGCCCACGCCAGGCAGGCCGCCCACGCCAGGCAAGCCGCCCACGCCAGGCAGGCCACCCACCCCTGGCAGGCCGGCCGGGGCAGGACATTCGGACACCTCGGGTTTGACCCCCCGCGTCTCGCTCTCCTTAAAACTAGCGATCACATCCCCTAGCTTGAGGCCGTCGGGAGGGCGAGGCAGGGGCTGGCGTCAGTGGTCGAAGTAAGAGTTCTGCATGAGGTAGAGCTTATCGATGGGGTTGATCTGTGGGTACATGGTGCCAGCCACGCCCACCATGGCCGGCACATCCGGGGGGGCCTGACTCGGTGGGGGCGCCGCTCCCCCACTAGACGACCTGCACCAAGAAAACGGAACATTGTATCTCCTGTTGAAGGTATATTCAAATAATTGTTATACTTGCGGCACCGATATAACGGAGCAGTGGGATTATATATATCATGGGATTATATATGACATATATGTTATATAAGTCATACGCCTCTTTACAGAGGCGAAGGAATGGTGGCTTACATTTCACCCTGGTCGTCGAACTGGTCCATGCGGCCCTCCTCAAAACTAATGTCGGAGCCGCAGAAGGAGTCGCCACTGTGGGCCGGGAAGCTCTCGCCTTCAGGGGAGTATGGTACTGCCGAACTCTTGGGCGTCGTCGCGTAGGGAGAGTCGAGGGAGTCGATGGGGGTGAGGCCGCCGTACTGACCTGCAGGTGAAGCACAAGGAGCAGGTTACAAGTGTTGGGCTTGAGGGACCTACCAGCCTCTGCACCCTTATTAAGGCCACCACAACAGTAAACTCACTAACCACCGAGTATACTTTAGCTATGGAATTAATGCAAATTCAAAGTTAACCGAGCGCCAATAAACCTAATATTTGATGTATTTAATCACGCTCATCCCAATAGAATAATTATCATGAAGACAGTAATAACAAGAATGAATTTCTTCACTGGCCGCTAACTGACAACAGTGACGTGTGTCAAGCAATAGGCACAACCAAATAAAAGTCCAGTCAGACACTGCAGCAAGTCTACGGATCTCCAGCCCCAAGTTTCACAACATGTCGGCAGTTCGGCCGCTCACCTAGTACACGCGTTTTGACGTCAGAAATCCCCCAACAGACAAATAAAGGTGTACTATAAATCACAGTGACTCGACTCACAAACATTCATGTTTTCTATGGTTGGGCTGACAAGGTTGCGCTAGGTCGATTTAGTACACCATTTTCTGGTCGTTGTGGCAAATGGAAACGATGGGCTGGTTTCAGAGACCTTTAAAACTATATAGTAGTAATAATAATAATAATAATAATAATAATAATAATAATAGATTTTTGTTTTGTCGGGGACAGTAAGCCTTTTAATATATATTTTACACTTATATCGAGGTCCCTCACCCCCCCCACCTCCCAAAGGTCGAACTATTGACCTTTCCCAGGATGTTATCTCACAATAATTGCCTTAACTCCCTGGTATCTACTGCTAGGTGGACAGAGGCATTAGGTGAAAGTAGAATCACAAGACTCAAGACAAGTAAAATCCCGCTCAAGACAGCACATATATGACTTATTGGTTATAGTCAATATTTTTTGCTTATGAATAAGTATATATGTGGTATATTCCAAGTTATATTTTTTTCAAGGCACTAACTCTTCCTCTCAGTTTTATTAAACAATAGAGATTTTATACAAAATTTGACAATATCATGAGTTACTTTACAATTTATTTAAATATTTAAGTTTTGTTTTATTATTTTTATAAAACTGTAATATCAATATAGATATGGTTTAAGTACTAATTGTAATATCTTAACATACTAAGAAGGTTAGGTTAGGTCGCTGTTTTCTATTCAGCTTTTCAGATAAACGTAAATATTCACAATAAATTAGTATATCACATATGTACTTATTCATAAGCCAAATATTAACTATAAGCAAGTGCGAGAACGCGACATGGGTGTTCCACTAAGATGTCTTGAAGCCTCACACACACACACACACACACACACTCACACACATACACACACACACACTCACACACACACACATATATACACACACACACACACACACACACACACACATACACACACACACACTCACACACACACACATATACACACACACACACACACACACACACACACACACACACACACACACACACACACACACACACACACACACACACACACACACAGGAGGAAAAGAGCTGCCAATTGTTGTCTTGTCAACTTGAATCACTTCAAAAGAACAAGTATTGCATTTCAAACTTTCAATTACTGACAGTATTATTAGTGTTTTGTCCGGACAATTATTCACAAGACTAGGGTGTCCTGACAAAAATCCAACCCATCTTAAAAAATTTAAAAAATAAAACAGGTGGCAGGTGTCAACCAGCTAGGCTGGCGGGGGATTACTCAGTGTTGCACACATATACAGGATCTAACCGTTGCCTGCAACTACATGTGTCAGTACACTCCCCTCCTAGACAATGTACACCCCCTCCTAGACGGTGTACACCCCCTCCTAGACGGTGTACACCCCCTCCTAGACAATGTACACCCCCTCCTAGACGGTGTACACCCCCTCCTAGACGGTGTACACCCCTCCTAGACGGTGTACACCCCCTCCTAGACGGTGTACACCCCCTCCTAGACGGTGTACACCCCTCCTAGACGGTGTACACCACCTCCTAGACGGTGTACACCCCCTCGTAGACGGTGTACACCCCCTCCTAGACGGTGTACACCCCTCCTAGACGGTGTACACCCCCTCCTAGACAGTGTACACCCCTCCTAGACGGTGTACACCCCTCCTAGACGGTGTACACCCCCTCCTAGACGGTGTACACCCCTCCTAGACGGTGTACACCCCCTCCTAGACGGCGTATACCACCTCCTAGACGGTGTACACCCCCTCCTAGAGTACACTCACCTTCACCACTTCCCTCCTTCTTCCCGCCCTCGCCCTTATCCTCCTTCTCGTCCTTGTCGTTGTTGTTGTGTTCCGTCTGCTTGGCCCGTCGCTGCAGCTTCTTCATCTTCGCCCTCTGGTTCTGGAACCAGACCTGGACCACGCGTACGCTCAGCCCCGTCTCCTTGGCCAGCTGCTCGCGGACCTGCGGGGTAAGAGCACGCTACTGTTACTTGGGGCAGTCTTACCCGGGCCAGTGTTCCTTGCCGGTCTTACCTCTTACTCGCAGCTTCTGTCTGGCCATGACTTACACCGGGGAGTACTACTTGCAGGTGTTCCCTGGGGGAGTCTTAGCTGGGATTCCGGGCAAGGTGTGTGCCTGGGGGGGGGGGGGTATTGGGGAAGGGGGGTCCTGGGGGGTGTCCTGGGGGGGGGGGGTGTACTGGGGGAGGGTGAAAAAGGGGAGAAAACACACAATGCTGTTTACCTGTTTGTGATTGTTTTGACTGTTTACGACAGCATTATACCAGTGGTGGGAGGTTTCTTCAGGTAAATCACCTCACCAGTGGTGTGTACTCACCTAGGTGTGCTTGCGGGAGGTTGAGCTTCGGCTCTTTGGTCCCGCCTCTCAACGGTCAATCAACTGGTGTACAGGTTCCTGAGCTTACTGGGCTCTATCATATCCACATTTGAAACTGTGTATGGAGTCAGCCTCCACCACATCACTGCCTAATGCATTCCATTTACTAACTACTCTGACACTGAAAAAGTTCTTTCTAACGTCCCTGTGGCTCATTTGGGTTCTCAGTCTCCACCTGTGTCCCTTTGTTCGTGTACCCCCCTTGTTAAACAATTTATCCTTATCAATTTATCCTTATATAATAGCATACGCCGCTAATGCTATTATTTTGATGTGAAGTTCAGGAGGCAGGTTTGGCGTGATATCAACTCCTAGATCTTTCTCTCTGTCCGTTTCATGAAGGACTTCATCTCCCATCCAGTATCTGGCCTCCTACTTCCTCAGACTAGTTTCATTACCTTACATTTACCCGGGTTGAACTTTAGTAGCCATTTGTTGGACCATTCCTTCAGTTTGTCAAGGTCATCTTGTAGCCTCATACTATCTTCTTCTCTCTTAATCGTCCTCATAATTTTTGCATCATCAACAAACATTGAGAGGAACGAGTCTATTACCTCTGGGAGATCATTTACATATATCAGAAATAGAATAGGTCCAAGATCTGAGCCCTGTGGGACTCCACTGGTGACGCCTCGCCACTCCGAGACCTCCCTCACAGTGACTCGCTGATGTATACTCCGTATATACACTCCCTGTATTCACAGTGAATCGCTGATGTATACAACACGTTTTGTCTTACGATCATTATGAATACTATTATTCATGCATCCTGTAGCACAGTAGTCTACGTTCTCGACTTCCAACCGAGGGACCAGGGTTCAGTCCCAGAACGGGACAGGAAAGGTTGGAAACGTTTCCTTTTCATTTAATGCCTCTGTTCACCTAGCAGTAAAACAGGTACCCGGGAGTCAGGCAACTGTTGTGGGTTGCATCCTGACGAAGGTCAATAGTAGGCTTACACCTCGATAAGTCAAAACACAGTCTTCCTGTCCCCGACAACCGGAAATTGGATGTCAACTTAAAGTTTGCCAGCATTTCACAGGAACTTGAAACTGTCATTTATAGGATTTCCCGGTGACAGGTTGTCAATCACAGTCAGTGCCAGCTGCTTCCGGTCCGTGGCACCTTATCGTCTTATCGTTAATCTTGCGGCCTCTCTTGCTCTCACTTGGCGTCATCACCATATTACTCTCATATTGACTTCTGTAACACATTTGTTACTTCACCTGCATCCTCTCTCTCTTCAGGTCTCTTGCAGCTGTTCGCTCCGAACACTCTCACTCTCACTAGTACCCTGGTGCCAGTACCATAGTGCCAGTACCCTGGTGCCAGTACCATAGTGCCAGTACCCTGGTGCCAGTACCATAGTGCCAGTACCCTGGTGCCAGTACCATAGTGCCAGTACCCTGGTGCCAGTACCATAGTGCCAGTACCCTGGTGCCAGTACCATAGTGCCAGTACCCTGGTGCCAGTGCTGCGCATTCTCAGGCTCCACCATCACATGTCCCTCATGCCCATTTGTACCGTTATGTGAGCGCTGTGTCAGTATGGTGTAGGATCATTAATACAACTGAATCAAAGATGAACATTATCATGTTCTATAATACAGTATATAAAATGTTTATACAATGCAGATACAAATATGGCATAGGGCGGGTGTGTACTCACCTAGTTGTGATTGCCGGGGTTGAGCTCTGGCTCTTTGGTCCCGCTTCTCAACCGTCAATCAACTGGCGTCCAGAGCCTGCTGGGCTCTGTTATATCTACATTTGAAACTGTGTATGGAGTCAGCCTCCACCACATTACTGCCTAATGCATTCCATTTACTAACTACTCTGACACTGAAAAAGTTCTTTCTAATATCTCTGTGGCTCATTTGGGCACTCAGTTTCCACCTGTGTCCCCTAGTGCGTGTGCCCCTTGTGTTAAATAGCCTGTCTTTATCTACCCTATCAATTCCCTTGAGAATCTTGAATGTGGTGATCATGTCCCCCCTAACTCTTCTGTCTTCCAACGAAGTGAGGTTTAATTTCTGTAGTCTCTCCTCGTAGCTCATACCTCTCAGCTCAGGTAGTAGTCTGGTGGCAAACCTTTGAACTTTTTCCAGTTTAGTCTTAAGCTTGACTAGATATGGACTCCATGCTGGAGCCGCATACTCCAGGATTGGTCTGACATATATGGTATATAATGTTCTGAAAGATTCCTTACACAAGTTTCTAAAGGCAGTTCTTATGTTATCCAACCTGGCACATGCCACTGATGTTATCCTCTTGATATGAGCTTCAGGGGACAGGTCTGGCGTGATATCAACCCCAGGTCTTTCTCTCTCTCTGATTCTTGAAGTATTTCATCTCCCAAATGATACCTTGTATCTGGTCTCCTGCTCCCTACACCTATCTTTATTACATTACATTTGCTTGGCTTAAACTCTAACAACCAATTGTTCGAGCATTCCTGCAGCTTGTCCAGGTCTTCTTGAAACCTCAAGCTGTCTTCCCCTGTCTTAATCCTTCTCATAATTTTGGCGTCGTCAGCAAACATTGAGAGGAATGAGTCTATACCCTCTGGGAGATCATTTACGTATATCAGAAACAGGATAGGTCCGAGTACAGAGCCCTGTGGGACTCCACTGGTGATTTCACGCCCGTCTGAGGTTTCACCCCTCACTGTAACTCTCTGCTTCCTATTGCTTAGGTACTCCCTTATCCACTGGAGCGCCCTACCAGTTACTCCTGCCTGTTTCTCCAGCTTATGCCTCAGCCTTTCATGGGGTACTGTGTCAAAGGCTTTCCGACAGTCCAAAAAAAATGCAGTCCGCACATCCTTCTCTTTTTTGCTTAATCTTTGTCACCTGATCGTAGAATTCTATTAAGCCTGTAAGGCAAGATTTACCCTCCCTGAACCCATGTTGATGGGTTGTCACGAAGTCCCTTCTCTCCAGATGTGTTACTAGGTTTTTTCTCGCTATCTTCTCCATCACCTTGCATGGTATACAAGTTAAGGACAGTGGGCTGTAGTTCAGTGCCTCTTGTCTGTCACCCTTTTTGTATATTGGGACTACATTAGCCGTCTTCCATATTTCTGGTAGGTCTCCCGTTTCCAGTGACCTACTATACACTATGGAGAGTGGCAAACAAAGTGCTCCTGCACACTCTTTCAATACCCATGGTGAGATTCCGTCCGGCCCAACAGCTTTTCTCACATCCAGCTCCAATAGATGCTTCTTGACCTCATCTCTTGTAATTGAGAACCCTTCCGAGGTCGCCAGGTTTGCTGCCACCTCTCCTAGCGCCGTGACCTCTCTTGTCATTGTTCTATTGTAAAGACCTCCTGGCCCCTTTTGTTGAGTTCTTCACACACCTCTTTGTCCTTCTCTGTGTACCTGTCCTCACCCGTCCTAAGTTTCATCACCTGTTCCTTCACTGTTGTCTTCCTCCTGATATGACTGTGTAGTAGCTTTGGTTCGGTCTTGGCTTTATTAGCTATATCATTTTCACAGTACTCACCTAGTTGTACTCACCTAGTTGTGTTTGCGGGGGTTGAGCTCTGGCTCTTTGGTCCCGCCTCTCAACCGTCAATCAACAGGTGTACAGATTCCTGAGCCTATCGGGCTCTGTCATATCTACACTTGAAACTGTGTATGGAGTCAGCCTCCACCACATCACTTCCTAATGCATTCCATTTGTCAACCACTCTGACACTAAAAAAGTTCTTTCTAATATCTCTGTGGCTCATTTGGGCACTCAGTTTCCACCTGTGTCCCCTAGTACGTGTGCCCCTTGTGTTAAATAGACTGTCTTTATCTACCCTATCAATCCCCTTCAGAATCTTGAATGTGGTGATCATGTCCCCCCTAACTCTTCTGTCTTCCAGCGAAGTGAGGTTTAATTCCCGTAGTCTCTCCTCGTAGCTCATACCTCTCAGCTCGGGTACTAGTCTGGTGGCAAACCTTTGAACCTTTTCCAGTTTAGTCTTATCCTTGACTAGATATGGACTCCATGCTGGGGCTGCATACTCCAGGATTGGCCTGACATATGTGGTATACAAAGTTCTGAATGATTCTTTACACAAGTTTCTGAATGCCGTTCGTATGTTGGCCAGCCTGGCATATGCCGCTGATGTTATCCGCTTGATATGTGCTGCAGGAGACAGGTCTGGCGTGATATCAACCCCCAAGTCTTTTTCCTTCTCTGACTCCTGAAGAATTTCCTCTCCCAGATGATACCTTGTATCTGGCCTCCTGCTCCCTACACCTATCTTCATTACATTACATTTGGTTGGGTTAAACTCTAACAACCATTTGTTCGACCATTCCTTCAGCTTGTCTAGGTCTTCTTGAAGCCTCAAACAGTCCTCTTCTGTTTTAATCCTTCTCATAATTTTAGCATCGTCCACACACACACACAGTGTGTGTGTGTGTGTGTGTGTGTGTGTGTGTGTGTGTGTGTGTGTGTGTGTGTGTGTGTGTGTGTGTGTGTGTGTGTGTGTGTACACACACGCGTGTGGGGTTGGAGCAAGTGTTCATCCCGCCCTCACCCCCTGGAGTGCCAGCGTGACCCTGGGAC